AGAAGGAATATTGGACAACCCCATACAACCCCCATGTATTGCTGGGAGGACAGAATTCCTCAGATTTGTGGTACCCTCTTTTACTGGATCTTTGTCTGCACCATCTCTTGCTGCCAGTCTGCGATCGGCCGAAGGGCCGCAACAGAGGATGAGCCTTTCCTTGCTCTTTACCCGATGCCAAACATGCACATGCAGCATTGCTAAGTTGTTTTGAGGCGTAGGTGGAGCGGGTGCCTGCTTAAAAGTAGCAACACCCGTCTGCGCATGGAGGCAACAAATCAGCCAGCGTCCTACTCGTCCATGGAGGACATGGGTTGTTCCTGGTCTTGTAGTTTATACTGTAGCGGTCCTTTGTGAACTTCTGGGCAAGACGGTACAACGTGGCAAAAGTCCACAAACGTAGGCGATACCAGAGGTTCCCAAAGCGGACAGAGGCGCATAGCAAAACATTGGACTGGATTATGACAGCATCTGCCGCTGACTTTTTGCTGTTGTTGACCGGTGTGTTGGAAAGGCCGTCGGCGTCTGCGAGAAAACCGCTTGTACGACAATTGGCAGCGGTAGCCCAATTCTGTCTGCCTGCCTGCCTGTCTGTCTGTCTGTCCAGAAAAGGATGCAAAGAGTCAGTGCTGCGTCAGAAAGACAGCATCTTAAATGCTACTTGGTCTGCTGAAGACAGCTTCTTCACTGTCAACGGCTGAAGGTGGTTCAGTCAAAAAGCGCTTGTGACTGACATCTAATGACAAAAGCAGGACGCCAAGAATGCTTGCGAAAAGCTGGGCTCCGTACATTGCTTCCTCGCTGCAGTCAGGTAGCTGCACGGGAACATGCAAGGTGGAAGTAAGAGATACAAGTCCTGGGACGTTCTAGGAGGCAAGGCAGATGTTGCATCAGGAGTCTGGCTAAGCAACGTTGGGGGGCTTTGTTTTTGAGCTGGTGTCATGCTCAGATGTGAAGGGGCGCACTCAGGGCCTACTAGTAGGTTTTTGAAATACTGCGCAGTCCGTGTTTTGAATGTCAGGCAGCATCAGGCACTTGCAGGGAAGAAAAAACAGTGTGGAGTGCCCTTATCCTTTCGTCGGTTGTGTGTCATGCCAGAAGAGCGTCATCTGCCTTCGCCTACGTGCGTAGGGAGTTTTTCCCCACCCTCACAGTAGGGTTGTTAGA